TAAATAAAAGTATTTTAAATAAAAGCAAAACAACACACTGAAACTGCACCCTTACCAAAACTACTACACAAGCAAAGCTTTGTAATTAAATGAAGTTCTGCTGACATTTGAAACAAAAACAGTCACTAGTAGTTCCATGCTGGTGCATCCACAGTGGCAGACTCACACTTTGCAGGTGTATTTGTTGGTGAAGCAGATGAGAACCCAATTCACCCATAAGTCATGGACAGAAGCGCTTCAGTCATAGTGTGAAAACAATCTTCCAAATGTGAGCAGAGAGATATCAGAACAGCTGATAGATAGAGCTGCAAGAGACAGGATTTCCCTTCAGCTTCTGTTTCTCTTTCTTTGTCTAGTTGTATGCTGTTTATAGCAAGTTCACGACGTATTAACAAGCTGCATTAACACTTTTATCCGACAGATCTACCCATGCATGCACCATGGTGGCTGGTCACTGCACATCGTGGCTGGTGACCAGAAACAGAACCCGCTCGCCAACCTAGACTGAGACGGCCTCAGCCTCCCAAAGGCGGCAGGTCAGGACCAGGACATGATGGCTGGCAGCAGTCCTTGTTATGGTCGTGAATGGTAACCAACATGAGCACTGCACTGATGTTACACGCACATCACAATGTCTAAGTATATGCACTGACTTAAATTTCAGTGATGTGTAAAAACCACTGGCTGCTAACAGCAGCAAAAATATGGTTGTCACTAATATAAACCATGACTATATGCCTGTTGGTCCGCGGGCATAACTGCCTGTACCATGATATGAAGCAGCTTTGTGCAACTTCACATCATGGAACGTTTCTCTATCCGCCACCCGAGAACGCGCTCTGTAGCAGTCAGGCTCCGCCCAGAGACTTAGACAGTATGAAACTAATACAGGCCATGCTAAACTGCTGCCTCAAACTGCAGCCAGTCTAATGGAATCAAACTTTGCCACAGCAAACATTTAGACTTTTACGAAAAATGATGCTGTTTTCTAGGGAATGTTCAGAATATGAACTTTTTGTTAATGCATTAAGAACATCTTACATTGTAATACAATCACATAAAATTTATTTGCAGTTGGAAAAGTAAATTTTCACCAGCTGCCCACATTAGCTTTCATTTTGCCGAAGTATGTGTTTCCACATTGCACAGCTTAGAAAATGAAGTCAGGCATTCAATCACAAAGGAACAAATTTTCTTCATCTGAAAGGGACGCTAAAGGCAAAAAATTTCTCTTCTTCGAATGATGAGTGAAAGTTTAAGAATGCCTAAATGCCAGTATTATCTACAGGGCTTAGTTCACCAAGAAAGAAGTAAATGTATGATAAGGCTCCAGTCACCCATGCCTTATTCTGCGAACTCTGTAACTCTATAAAATGACATAGTCGAGTCCCAGAAAAAGTAATTACTGAAACTGTCCACAGTAGAAAAGACAATTTCAGCGCATTAAAATCTGGTATGAAATACTTATTTTTTTATAAGTAAGGTTTAACGTCTCAAAACCAGCATATGATTATGAGAGACGCCGTAGAGGAGAGCTCCGGAAATTTTTACCCCCTAGGGTTCTTTAACGTGCACCCAAATCTGGTATGAAATGCTGCTTGGTTCTTTCTATTTCTTTCTTTGAACTAAGAGCCGCCGACAAGACTCATGGCTAGCTTCAATTATCCCCCAAAAACAAGGGGGGGGGGGGCAGTGAATGTTCTCTCAAATTACCTACCTGTTCCACAGAAGCTTCTCCGAAGCTACTGACCGGTGTCTGCTCATAATAGCAAAATTTTCCTTCTACCACGCCTGCTGCTACTGTATTTCACGCCACCTAAAGGACAAAATGTCAAGAAGACCTACTTGGAAAGTTGTTTAAATATGTACCAGTTGTAGCATCCTGACCACTTAATATATAACTTCTTTTTAAACAAGGCATTTCCTTAGCACGGAACAAACAGTGCACCACAAACAGTGCACCAGCCTTTAGGGCCCCTTTAAAAGGTTTCATACATTTATATACTTAAACATCTAAAAAGGTTGCAACATGCTAGGATGCTCAAGGTCCCTAAAATATACCACAAAAATAATAACTTTCTGGCCTGCGTTATTTACACAGTTCATTTTATTGACCGATAGGCATCAAAATTTATTAACTTTTCCTCAGAGCACTTAGTTTTTAAAAGCAAGGTGCATATAGTATAATGGTTTGCATTATTTTGTGGATAAATAACGCCTGTAGAAACTTATCTCACTGAATAACACGGACCAAAGAATGTCATTTCAAAATTCTTTGTGGGGCAGAAGAACTAAGAATTGTAATGGTGATGACCGAGTATATTAATAACCTAGAGTTGGATTCTATAGAAAGTTCTCAAATCAGCCGCTATAGAATTATATGGTTTCAGTTTAAGGCTGATTTTTTTAATGGTTTAAACATGTAATATTACTTTGGAACAAAAAAGCAACTTGACTTTGGTTTTACCCTGGGCACTTGCATTGTAGCAATAGGGAAATGCACCATCTCATTGTCTGCTAAACATGATATTAAATTCCTGCGCATTAAGGTCTTATCAAAAGCAACGGTGCACGGGTCGACGCCAGATGCAATGGTGAATGCATTAGCAATGGCAAAAACGCCACAGTCATAACAGTTCTCTTGACGCTGTACTGCCTTAGCGTGAATGGTGAGAGTGTTAGAAGCTAGACTCATTATGTTCATAACTTGAGTTGCTACACTTGGCATTTGCTACACTTGGGTTGCTACACTTGGCTTCAATGGAGCGACACCAGGTGCTCTTGGTCTACATGACTTTGTGTGAGCTGATGCCGACCTGATTGCATGCGAGGAGTTCTGCAATTTTTGGGTAACTCAGAAGGCAGCCACGTGACCCAAAATTTTTTCTCTCAAAAAAATTTTACCATTCAGTATTTTAAACACAGTGCTCCAGGAAGATTTTTTTTTCAATACATTTAAGATGGTTGCCAAAATGGCTGGGACGTTCGATGTATAATGATCCAATTACATGGATGACTTGCAGAATTTTTACTTTTTATATCAGACATTGCTGCCCTGTTTTGGAAACAAGTAAGGCATATCAGACATCTCATTTTCAGTATTTCAATTAAGAGAATAAAATGGGCTAACATGGGTTTGATGAAATATGATCTGTGTTCATAACAATAACAGTAACAGTAGTATTGATCTTTCCTTTGATGCACAATAGGGAATTCACATTTACACCAGATGCTTGTCAACTCATGGCAGAGATAATGCACATAAGGTAGGTAACCTCACTAGCCTCCTTAGTAGTTTTTGTCAGATTGCTTATTCTGCACTTCTGAGTAAAGGAGATGCTGTTGCATAAAGGCTGTGCACCAGTGAGCTTACCCGTTGGTGCCTCACAAATATACTGTGATAATGAACACACAGTAAAACCCGCTTATATCATTGATAGCCGAAGTCGCAAATAGTCCCACTGCACGCGTCATTTCACTCTAATCAAATCATTTCGGAAGGCTCTACATGTGCCAAACATGACCAACAGACAGCCGCTCGATTCCGACGATCTAAGCATGCAACTTATGTTCAAAGGTCGTCCGTAGACCTGCAGTGCCAACATAACGAATTAACTCGGGAAAAAACGAAAAAGGCCGTAGCAAAATGCCGCTAACTAAATTCTCCAACGTCCACGTTTACGTGGCCTTCACTGCACGGTACCACACTGCGCGAAAAATATACGTAGGACGGCTATCACAGCTACACACACCTAATTTCACCTAATTTTTATCTTCCGCGGGCACTTGCGATGAAGCACGTGCACTGTAGCGCTGCAGGCGCTACAGTGCACGTGCTTCATCGCAAGTGCGCTACAGTGCACGTGCACTGTAGCGCCTGCGTTTTCTTGGAGGATTGAATTCGTCCCTTCTAAATGCAACAATTGCAATATGTGTCATTGACTCGTCGCTAAACCGGCTTTGAGTAACTACCGAAAGGGCAAAAATGAAATAAGGAGGGAGGCATTTTACGATAATTCAAGGGGGAAGCGCTTTACTGTTTGAAGCGAGATCGGGTTGCCTTAGAACGCGTAGTTATAAAGCAAGATTCAGTAAAGAAGAAGAACAATGCACATGCTGCGGGAAAGATAAGGAAACGGCGGAGCATGTTCTGATTGAATGTGGAGATATCCACCCAGGTGTACGCTTGGGCACGAGCCTACAGGAAGCCTTGGGTTTTAGGGACAACAATGGAAAGCTGAACACACCCGCGATTGAAATAAGTAAGAGACGGTTAGAGGATTGGTGGCAGAAAATTAGAGGAGTAAGGACAAAAATAAATATTGGAAAAATAAAATATGGGCAGTGTGCCGTAAATGGCAGAGAACTTAAGCTGAAAATTTACCTTTTTTCCATTAAGATAGAATTTATCGAAGTAGAGGCATTAGGCCAACATAAAAAAAAAGAAAAAAGGTTTTTTTTTTTTTTTTGTCGAGCCTGGTGGCATACTTGTCACCACCCCGTTATAAAGGGGACGCTCATAGCATCCATGTTAGGGTTCCTCGATGCGCGCTCTCCCCTCCGCCGCCTTGGAGGGTGGAGTTAGAGTGCCTAGAATATTTCTCCTAGTGTCGTGAACGGGCCGGCCGAGGGGAAATGGTATGCGATACAGCCGCCAGGTGGCAGTACCGCTCTCTGGCGCGCTGCTTTTTCGGCAAGCTGGGAAGGCAGCAAGCCGGAGCAGACGCTTTGCGTTGAAATTGCAGTGGTGGTTTCATGGCTTAGCACGTGATTGCCTTGTTATCCTGTGTTTTCCATGCAGACTGTAAATAAAGCGTGTGAATTTGAACGAAATGTATGCGAGCTCTCTGCCTTGTTGAGATTTTGTGTCCTCCTGACGTGCCGCCTCTTCATAGATTGGTCGCTCGCGCGTTACCAATGCTACTTTTTAAATTGCGGTAATTAAGGGGTGGCCAACCGGGGGCTCCCAGCGGTACGACTGTTCAACACAAAAAATCACATATTTCTCTCCTCATCCGCGACCACCATTCCCTCCCGTAGGCGCACTTAGTGCCAGCGGCAGGCTCAATTTCGCAGCCGCAACAAAGAAGCAGATCGTCGGCCCTTTTCAGCGAAGCGAGTGCGTCAGTTTCGGTGCTGACATAGTGCTCTTCCACATTTATGCCGCGGCAGTAAGTACTGCAAAGGTACCCATCTGCAGCACCTACTTCCTTGCTTGACGAAAACACTACGTGTTTCAACACGCAGACGTCACCCAACACTGTATTGTAGTGCCATGCGAAGGACAATGCTTCTGGGTTACTGGGCAAGCAAATTTTGCTGCAAAATGCCGACGGCGGCGTTATGCTGTGAAACGGGTGCGGCGCCTGTGCTGTTTCCTCGCCAGCGGCAGCATCGTCACAGGCCTGGGAAGTCGTGGGTTCATTCGGCGCTTTACGCTTAGCAGGCGGAGCTGTGCAGTC